TATATAATACATATATATATATATAATATATATATATATATATATATATATATGTATATAATATATATATATATATTTACCTATGTATATATATTTTCGTATTTATATATATATTATACATATATATGTACATGTATATATTTATACATATATAGATTGACAATATTTTGTGTGCGTGTGCACACATTTATATACTGATTTGTCAACTTTTCCTCTGTATTTTATACAATAGTATTAAATCCCTGTTGTGTTTCCATTTTCAAACTATTATACTTCTATATCCAATTAGTGTGTTCAATGCCTGCGCTTCAGACTAAGGTTGTTGTGTGATCGAAAAGTCTCACCGTATTTGGTGTACAGGTTTTGATTGTATTATCAAGCTCTATATATTAATATTTAAATATCGCTGCTGCGATGGAGGTGTATGAGTTTTACTTGATGGTCGCTGTTTCATTATCGGGGCAGTCATCGCGCTACAACTTTCAATGGCAGTGTAGATATTTAAGGTGTACTGTATATTCTTCATTTACGTGATTTCATGTTTAGCGTGTATTTAGGCTGTTAGTGTATGTTAAAACGTGTAGAGTCCGCTTATTATATCAGAGTGAGACATCACCACCGGTGTACGGCTAAGCTGCTCGACTATATAGTACTAAATTTCTGCTGTCAATTCGTGTCATAGTCGCCACTGTGTGCTATTATCATCTGTACGAGACAACGCCATCAGGATGTGATACAGCCGCTATTTTTATGTGTCACAGATATGATGGTATGTACATAGTCGCCAGTGGGTGTTCTATTGACGAGTTCGCGGTTATGATGCCCTTGGTGCCTGTAAGCGTTTGCTTCGAGAGCCAGAGTCATAGCGGTCAGTATGTACTACCACGTCAGCGCCTTCTACAACTGAAATCGGTGTATGCTACTCTCACCGATTTCGCACTCATCGTCCTGGTCGCCCTTTGCCTTGTCCGACACTACAACGACAGTGTTCTGAATGGAATTGAAATAAAGTGCAGTTAATATCAACTCAAAGCTATGGTATAGAGGGAAGCTTGGGATACAACGTACGTTCAGCAAGTGTTAAATGTGTATGTTGCGCGCATATTTCATAGCACAGACTCATACCGTGTATTCTGGCAAAGAAATTTGCGAATAAACAGAGTACAAATATGTAAGTTTCAGATCGGTCTTGTCCTCTCAAATCTGGGAAATATATATATGTGTGCGTGTATAGAGGCAGTAACCCCTCCACGCACACACACACATATATAGGTATATATGTATATATTCATATACTGTGTACATACACACACACATATATATATGAATACATATACATATATACATACAAGCAAACAAACACACACACACTTATATATATGTATATATGTAAACATATATATCTATATCAATAGATATATAGATAATACAATATACATACACATATGCATAGATGGGGTTCCATCATACAAGTACAATTTACCAAGTATACAATATATAAATTTCCAACACAAGCGAAGCATGCACTATACGTGAGGAAGTATAAATCCTCCTATGCAAATATAGTTTCCGATCGGTGTGTATACTAGAAGCTGTACATTCAGAGCACAGACCCGCGTGTTCTTACTCGGCACCTTCCGACAAACATTTCCAGCAAGTACGTCTACGCGTACAACAGTTTGCAGATTTCATACCCCATTCATAACCACGCCTTCGATGTTGCAATAGATCACATCGTCGTCTTCGTTTTTGGGAAAGGAATATATCACACCATCATCTGAAATGGTCATGTTCGGGCCAACGACACTAGCACTTCCGATCCATAGCGTCTACGTGATTAGAACAAATAGGTTTTAGCCTGAACCATCTACCATCAATATTCACTATCAATACCGGGTTCAACTGGCGAGTGACAAATGACGAGTTCAGTCTAGTTGGTGCTGTTCACGTACATAAACTAAGGCAGTTTTTGATCGCGTATATACTCTGGCGGCATAAATGACAATAATAATGCTGTCGCACAAATAAACATACCGCCGCCCTAGTTGTGTATAGTTTCTTTCGCACGTGATGATGCCAAGTGTTACATATCAACTACGTCGAGATATAAACTTACCGAATCTTCTTGAGATACGATGGCGATGTGGGTGCCGTTGAAGTCGAAATCGGAGTAGTCTGTGAAGCTCACTTGAGGCGGGATTTGTATTTCTTGAACGTGCTTCCAACTGCAAGTGAAGATTAGGAGCCATAGGAAAGAGACAAGAGATGAATATCACTATCTTGGTACTGCAAGTGACGATTAGGAGCCATAGGAAAGACAAGAGATGAATATCACTATCTTGGTACTGCAAGTGACGATTAAGAGCCATAGGAAAGACAAGAAATGAATATCACTATCTTGGTGGTGTGGTGGTGATCGACGTTCGTTGGCACATCCTTCTCCACTATCCGAGGCAACGACGCGCCGGTTACATTGCCGACTCTTTGCCTAAGACAGCCTCGACACAAAATATTCATCCACATACACATGTCCAACAAACCGATTGATAGGCCTACTACCCATGTCTACTACAACATACAATGGCTTGTATAGGGCATCGATGGAAGGTAGGAACGTTTCCAGGCACGTAGTATATGTATGTATCTCTACTGATTGTGCGTGTTTGTATATGTCATCAGTCGGGCTACTTACAGACACTCATCACCACCACCATCATCATCGTCGTCTCCTTCTAAGACTGTCGCCGACACCTCAAAGACCTGTATTCTTCCATTCCCCGATGTTTCTCCCGTATCTCCGTTTTCACAGTAGTTGCCTTCGCAGAGGGCAAACAGATACTGGGGCTCCCCAGGGATAAGTCTACCCAGATATATACCTTCAAAGCCTTTGTTATTGCTCGGCAGTTTGTAATCAAGCTTGCATGTTCGCACGGCGGATTTTTCTGTTTGGAGTTGGGTAGTAGACAAATGCGCGAAGTCTGTATTGAGCTATTTTCATCTGTTTACGGCTGTGTTTTGGTATCGACAATATAGCGGCCAATCTCAACAGGCCTTTAAAATCCATCTCACAGACATTCGCAACTGCAATTAGGTGAGAAATACCATGTTCATCATAACGTCATTCGCCCATCACCATATCGTACATCCACATAACAAAATTGTAAAGGAACGGCATACTTATTGTACACTTACCGTCCCCGCTAATCGTAAACTCGTTTATTACGCCATACTTGTCATCAGCTTCAATTAGAGCCATGAATTGCCCATCGGAAATATATTGCAGCCCCTGTGCAATTGTGTTGAATATATAGGCGTGTGTGTGAGATGACAGTAGTTTGAAACATACACAGTTCACGAAACATAACAAGGGTACCACCGCGATAAGTCAGACAAATACTATCTATGGCACACTTGTACACAGCTTGGTTATAGGAAACTTACGAACGTCGTGTGTGGACACGAGGGTGAGTAAGTTTAGAGAGAGATATGACAACGTTAGAGAGAATACTGCCAGCTTAGAACCCTCCATAAATTAAACTACGCCAGCAGGATGTTTTCTTCTTCATACAAACCCTTTTGTTTTTGGGGCTGCTATTCGGGTACTTGGTGTGGAAAGTGCGTGTGTACACATGTACAATTGGTACCCTTCACATTGTCCGAGTGTAGAATGAGAGTATATGTAGGTATACAATGTACACTCACGAGATGGTACGTGCGCGGGGAACTCTATTACATATATTTTCTAAACGCATGTAACAAATTACATACTTCGTAGCCTATATCGTCGCCCTCCTTTCCCGCTAGATAATTTCGTGAAGATTCATTCTGTATATCAGATACCACACCCACATCTGTTTATGCATGACGAGAGGGTAGTGTTGAATTTATTTCTGGTTCGAAAATGAGGACATCCAGGCCACGCACTGATCTTACGTACATAGGCGGCGAAGTACTTGTGCTTGCTTTCAATGAGTACATGTCAAGGCCTCTATATATAGAGGGTGGCATTTCAATTTCTTATTATAGCTACTTTTCAGAATCAAGGCTTAGTAGAATTGCGCGAGATGCAGATAAACGCTGCGAGTTGATTTCTCGATTGAATCAAATACAACGTACTCAATTTCATTAAAACATACATTCTTTGCTGTCAAATATCGCGTAGTACTGTCCACCAACTTGCGTGACTGAACTGGCCTCCAAATGCTTTGGTGCCCCATCGATGATATCTCGAAATTTTCCTTCTTCCAGAAGCTGTATGTATATATATAATAAGGTACTTTAGATATGTACATATATATATATATATATATATATATGAATTAATATATATATATATATATATGTATTATATAATTATATATATATATATATATATAGTATATATATATATATATGAATTAATATATATATATATATATTATATATATATATATGAATTAATATATATATATATATATTTATATATATGGATGCTCATTTTCATGCTCCTTATACCGTATATGACAGGTGAATCGATCTTCTGTAGGGAGATGTCAATTGACATAAACTAGGCACTTGTACCACTTTAGTATATACATTTATGACCAGTTTCACCACAGACTCCCAATGCAAAATCGTGACAGACTTCGTGCCCATTCTATCAGCACACATTTGCCGCATTCGCAAGCGCGTAATTTACAGACCTTCCGGGTTTTGTGTGGTGCTATTTATACACTAAATGTATCTAACCATTTACTCGTTGTCAATTTAGACAGATGCAAACAGTTCAGAAGTTGTATACTATATGTGCGTCTTTGATATACGTGATCAGAACTGGATGAAAGTAACAAACAAAAAGTCAGCCCGCCATTTCAAATTCCATTTTATGGTATTCAATTTCACGCGAGGATTGAGTATTGACACAAATCAACTTTGTTAAAGTCAATTTCAATGTTGTACAAGTGTAGCTTCTCCCACATGATATTCAGCAGACGTTTTCCACTATATCAACGACAAACAGACATGAAATCAAGATATAAACAGAATGCATGATGAACAGCACTTACTTTGCGTGTACTACCCTTACGACGTTTATATAGCATTCGGCACGGAATTCGCTACAAAAGTGTGTGTGTTATTGGGCTTGCTTGTGTATGAAACATATTGCTGTAAACAGATTAACAGAAGGGTTTTCACCAAATTTCAAAATACTATTTCCAAAATGTTAAACACTCACCGTTAATTCCATGACAGCTGGTGCGGCTTGTGCATACGCAGCTAGAACTAGTACCACTGGCAAACAGTTAACCATGTTCTTATATAAATGGATAATATAAATTCTTTATGTGCAATTATTGTTTTTGTGATCTATAGACCCAGCGAACTTTATTTATTTATACAGACAGTGATGTCCATCGGATCCACAATTCCACAATCCTGAATCCACACACTTATTAAATATCCAATTCCCACAACGCGCGTCAGCCGTCAGGCCGTCAGCTGTCTCACTGTGTCCGGTAAATAGGCAAACAGTGCCACTTTGGTCTGTGACTTTACGCCTTACGGTCTCGTGAGCTTTTTTGGAGGTAAACAATCTATTTCTTTTAAAAAATTGAATTTGTTCATCATACATAAATTACACTAAATAAATAGAACCAAAATTGTATTTTGTTTCTTAAAAAAATTGATATAGCCTTCATCATGTATTAGTATTTACATAAATAGGTTATGGGACAAAATCAATATATAAAAATAAAATAAAAGATACAAAAAAACTATTTACTCGTGAGTCGTGACAACCATGGCCTGAATAGATAAAAGCAATGACAACCTTATTTAAAAACAAATATCAAAATCACTGTTTTTTATAAAACAAACCAAAAAATAGATAAATAAATATGTATTTATCTGTTTGTCTGTCATCCAGCTACAACAAGAGTCAACAACTAATAAGGCCTTTCGAGTTTCGAGATCCAGATACATAGTCATATGAATATGGTACAGTATCGGGATTCGGGATACATACGGAATACGGTAGTACCCCCTACTCCCAGTAGCCATTATTAATTCAGTGATTCATGATTCTCCGTCATCACTCTCTCTCAGTCTCAGTTTCTCAGCTACGCTCTACTCTAGCTAGTAGTCTTGTGACAGAGTGTTGTATGAGAATCTCGGAATACTGAATAGTCGAGTAGAGTCTATTAGAGACAGAGGTCTCCCTGGGGGACTCTGCTGTAATTTTTCTTAAAAATTACGATGTCGCAGAGAATTGATTTCCGCTCGATACTTAAATATTCCACCCCCGTCCCCTGGGCCCCACCACAAGCAGAGAGACTGAGAGAGAGATGAGGGTGTGATGACTGATGAGTGTGACTCCGTGCATGACTAATACAAACTAATTTCTGCTCCGACTTCAGTAACAACAGATCAAACTTCTACTCGCATTTTAATATACACAAAGTGAAAGAAATCAATTTACTATTTAGCACAAGAAACAGGAAACTCCGGAGTCCGGAAGCCGGGGCCCGAATATGGAAGCGGGATGGCTGAATAGTGAAAAAAGTAAAGTGTAAACTGAACTTGTTGATTTGTCATTTGTGAAGATTGAAGAAGCATTTTGTACGAAAATATATATAATGAGCATAGTTTCGAGTATTGTTTTTTTTTAAAAATAAATGGTTTTTATCGTTTATCTTATCTTGATCTGTATAATTTTATTTTTATAAAAAAACCCCCGTTATATTTGAGCTTTGTGGGAAAAAGACAAAAAGTTGCTGGATTGTTTTTTATGTATTACAAATTTACAATTGATAGAAAAACTATGTAAATGTAAATATTTACAAAGCATAATACTCAGACATAGCCTAGAACAAATGTTTTCTGAAAAAGAACATATTCAGGAGGCTACTATGTCAGAAAATAGATGAAAACCCAACTCAGCCCTCCAGGCCTATAACCCTTCACCAAGCAGTCACTATCACACATCAGTCCATCACTCACTTCAAGATAGGAACGACTTTACCAAAGAGTCGAGGTAAATGTGGTTTTAAACAATAAACGTACACCCAAAATGACCGGAGGCGCAGGCAGTCCAATTTGAACTTGATTAGGTGCGTACAATGTCCTCTCAAAGTTATAGCTGTTGGTAGAGGCGAGGGTCTCAAAAATAATAGAGAATCAACCTGTATCCGATCAGGACCAGACACAGGCAGATAAATACATTCTGAAGTGCGGCAAGTACGTACGAAACATATTGAAAGATTCTTTTGAAAGCTACGGAAATATGTGATCAACATTAGAGCTTAATGTTATTGAAGTATATAGTCAGTCTATTTAAGCCGCAGTATTTAATTCTCAAATTCATGTCCTGCGCGGTACGACCAATATATTGTCCTCCTAAGATAGCATGATGATATTTCAGAGATATATGACGGTTCTAGTATATTCTTGCGCCGTATGTACGGGTGTGTGTGTTCTGCGTTAGGTTATTGTTTGATTAACTCCCACGTTATGCGCGTGATATATTCGATCCGTCTGCGTTAAAGACGGACGATGATGAAAGTTTGGACACAGGTAGTACATCAGGCAATACATCGCAGATACGGTGTAAGCCACACCATATACGTGAGCCGAAGTGTAGTCGCTTTCCCCACTCTGCAGTCTACGTTGAACGGTAGTGCTTTCTACATCATCTTCGGATACTTGACCGAATTGTGCCAGCTCATTTCATTCGCATTATCAATACGAGTTGAACAATGCCAAGCAGTCGCAACGAAAAGGGGCAGACATTTGTATAAAAGGGAGATGTCACCTAAGACTTCTCACAGCTCCGGCAAAGTGAATTGTATAGTAATTCCCAAATCGGTTACTTCAGAGACACCTGCTTCTAAAAGATAATTGTAATGGGTCCCTCGACTAACTTAAAATAGACGCAAGTCTCTCTGTACAGCTATGGCTCTCATTACGTGAGCACGAACCCAGAGTATTCATCAGCGAGCTGCTATAAATGGTTATCCGCCTAGCAGACACCATAGCAGTATTCCCGGCGCTCAACAAGGCATCGGACATACTCTAACTATGCGAATGAGAATGTATGCTTCGGTCAAGATTGTGTGCTTACAATCGCCCATTCTCAACAATACAGCCTATCATCGTGGTGCACGCGTGTCACACCCGGCTCTACCTGCGCAACCATATTCACATCGGTTTCCCAATGATATGTTCGGGTGCGGATGTGGGACCGTTGTATGTACTATAACATTATGCGCAGAGTTGATCCTGGGCACAACTGCAGAAAGGTGAATGGGAGTACTTGATGTAAAATTCCTGTTCAGTGCCGAACTTCGGGTTCGGGAAAGAAGTGGAGATATCTCTGGTAGGCTAGAAACTTGGTCATCAATTTCAGCACTTATTTGCAACATTGATAATGTTCGGTGTTGGCGAAATGCGGTCATAGATCCATATAAGCCACCGGCTCAAACTCCAGCAGACACCACATGATCACGACGAAGGTATCACATAATAAGCGCCCAGTTTAGAGAGCCGTGAAAGTTGGGTGGCGTATAAGCCGGCCAGGTACAAGAGTGCAACACATTGGACCGCTATCACCGCGTAGTACAAAACCTTATGCCTCGTGGACAGCTGTAGCCGGGCGGTGTAGTCCTGCGCGATTGACTTCTGTATGGCGATTGCTTCTAGGTGAGTCTCAGCCTCCTCCTCGTCCGTCCCAACTTCGCGGTCTGTTCCGTGTTGCGATAACGATGAGCATAATATGAACGCAAATGTAGCAAAACTCACAGACTACTAAGGGTTTGCAAACGATGCGAAATTTATATCTACAAGCACCTTAATGATGCAGTTTTGTCTCTATGTCATAATCATGGAAAAAAGTCTTTTCAACTAGGCTTAATCAGCATCAATCTGCAAGCAGGTTAAGGTAAGACTAATGGAAGGGACTTCAACGGGATGGTGAAATGGATGGATATTGTATTGAAACCTTTCACTTGTGTACATGCACATACAACATGTTTCTATAACTTTAGGAAAGACGTTGATTGAAAGCTTTCCTTCGCTCAAGCATACCTAGGGAACGTAAACTAGAGCCCACTCGAGCCACCATACCAATAGAGCAGTTCAACCAATACGGCTAGTACTGAAGACCTACCCACACACATCTCAACAACCCAGTGAAAAACATCAGAGCACACACACGTTGAAACACAGCACCCCACCCCACCCACACCGCTGTAGCTATAGACCAGTTCAACCAATACGGCTACTATTGAAGACCTACTTACAGGCATATCAACAACTCAGTGAAAAACATCAGAACACACAGACGTTGAAGCAAACACCCCACCCCACTCACACCGCTGTAGCTATAAAGCAGTTCAACCAATAAGGATACGACTAAAGAACTACTCTTAGACATGTCAACAACCCACAGTGAAATACATCAGAGCACTCACACGTTGACACACACTACCCCACCCACCTCGCTGTAGATCCCATGTACCGGCAGTTGGCATGTTGGTAAACAAAGGACTGCTGTGCAGCATCTTGGCCCGGCAGTTGAGTATCGCCTTGGGCGGGGGACGGTCTGTGGCATTCTGGCCACATGCGGAGGTGATGGGGTCACTGCCTGCGGATAGCGTGGAGGAGAGGGAGACGATGATAATTGGGCATGTATGCTATGTGTGCTTACCGGTTGCTTGGTTGATATGTGCACACTTGGTGCTTGTTTATGAATGTTGCTTGTTCATGTGGACTTCAGAATAAGGAAGTTAATGTTTGGAAAGAAACATACTTATAATACACAAATCGGGAGACGATGGTAGCACGAGCACAAGTCACTCTAGAGTATGTTGAGCTCTATCTCAATATACTATAGCACACATCCATCACAAGATTCGTGCAGATCTCATGAATGACGATGGAGTGTGACATCTCATTTCTTTGGCACGCGTATGTATTTTCATGGGAAAAAAAACAAACCCTTTGGCAAATACACACCCTTGATCACAAACAATGTGGACGCGAATCTAGCCATACTCACTCAAAATAATCGCCCTGGCACAAGCACGTATGCACCGCTACTCTCGTCAGTAGGGTTGGCAGCCTGCAGCCAGCCAGCTGTTGAGTAGCACTTTCAACTAAAGCATACGATACGCACATGATCACATATACACATGCAAACACACGGGCTTATGCGCCCCCTCATATATCCGACGATAAGCACAGGTACAGACAGAAACGCAGACTCGGACACTCAACCCATACCCTCGCACACAACCACACACTCCACCCATACACACATATATCCATATACACGCACACATGCATTATTCACGCTCACCTACATACTTGCGTATATGCGCGTGCATGTATGTACCAGTACAGTCCCTTCGCGTACACCACAGGATGTGCACGTTCACTTACTTGAATCACCGGGAAGTAGGCCCATCAGCCTCTCACGCTTGCCAGTTTTCGGACTCCCGGATGCTGAATATTACAAATTGACACCAAACAAGTACAAGGACTATGCAAGAATGCCCATGATGAAACTCATGACAACGATTTACACACAGTGAGCTGTATATATTACAAAATTGAAAAGATTACACAACACACACGATCTAATATGATATCACAGATTAGCACACAACATACATGATTAAATATGATATCTTAAATTTGTAGACATCACACACGATCTAATATGATATCACAGATTAGCACACAACATACATGATTAAATATGATATCTTAAATTAGTAGACATCACACATGATTAAATATGATATCTCAGATTAGCACACAACATACATCATTAAATATGACATCTGAAATAGAGTACACAAACACACATAAGTGAATATGATCTCTGACGCTTGTACTATATTGCACAAAACACACAAAACTCACGAGCATGTAAAGCAATCTATCATAGACCCTGCGCACATAGTGGTCAAACATACCCGAAATTCCACTCACATGCCGGAAGATTTTCCTGATTTTGTCCCGTTTGCCCAATTTGGGGCTCGAACTACTGGCAGAAGACATACTCGTGCCCGTACTTGTTTTGCTTGGGAGGCGCTCGATTTTGGACTTTTGGCTGTTGAGCGTTCTAGTGCTTGGTGTCACGCCCGGAACTTTGAATTCGCTACTCCCATTGGGTGTTTTGGGAGGGCTGGCGGTACCAAATGCCTCCTAAAATTGGCCCACACCATTGGTTTATGTTAACTACTGTTATCTAGTCACTGACATTGACATAGTATGGCATACAGGTGATAGGTATTGCTATAGTAGAATCCTGTGAATTAGTCCACACCATTGACTTACATTCAAGCGATTGTTATACATTCACTGACCTTGACATTGTACTACGGATAGATAGTAGGTAATGCTATGGTAACAAGTTGCAATCAGAAGTCCATATGCTGCGAGCTATCCCACGCTCAGGCCCAGACTAGAAGAAGTGACCTGTGTCAAATCGCTGATGATTCTCCATGCGATACACAGTACTAGCGTCATCTAATTATTAATTTGCATACAATATAACAGAGCATACGCTACATTCCAAAACTTTTGCTTATATTTTATATTGTGAATGGCATAGATATAGGGGAAACTTTCTGTGCGTGGCTATGCATATGCACTCACCTCGATGCCATGGTCAGAAACGTTGTTATCTCTACAGACTCTACCCGTACTTCTGGTTCTAGTACGAACTTTAGGACATCACCATATTTTATGTTCAACTTTACATATGCATTCTTCCATGCCATGGTCAGGACCATTATTATCTCTACAAACGCTACTAGTACGATCGGCTCTATAGTGTATTACTAGCACATAACCCTATTCTCCGTACGACTACACGTACACACATATATACACCTATCTCAATGCCGTGGTCAGGACCATTGCTATCTCTATAAATGATACTCATGCCGTACTGTAGTGCTAGCACATATAATTCTATTCTCCATGCGACTACACATATATACACCTACCTCAATGCCGTTGTCAGGACCATTGTCATCAGAAGACAAGTGAATGGCTGTGGTATGCATCGCATGCACAGTGTCCTGGGCATCGTAGTAGTAGAATAGTAGCACGTGGTACGAGGGATTGGGGTATCTGTGATATATGATATGTGATGTATGGCTGGTGAGTGTAACGTATAATAACTCATGAGCATGATATACATTGGGGTGTCTGTGATATGTGATATGTGATGTATGGCTGGTGAGTGTAACGTATAATAACTAATGAGAATGACACACATTGGGGTGTCTGTGATATGTGATATGAGATGTATGGCTGGTGAGTGCAACGTATATTGACAAATGAAGGAGATACATACATTGTTATACAATACGCTCTGGACTCTCAAACTACGGGTTAGATCACGTGTATGAAACAGATACAGTGTATCCGAGGACATATGCATTGCGATAGTCAGCGGCATAGTACTTGGTCTGTCGGTGTAACGAACAGGCAAGCTTCAATCAAACTCAATGCATTGTAAAATAAATCAGAGCCTGCTTGAATAAATTTGCATCGTCACGGGCGAATTCTGTATGAGGGAACACCCTATGCATAGGTGTCTGTATGTACCAAAAACTACCGTCAATTCAATGTATACTACGATGAGGTAGACTACATATATGTGCTTGTTTCATGAAAGCAAGTCCGAGTTTCCCCACACTCGGTTGTAGCTGTACTTATTCAGAATACACTGACAGGGCTGTCCGATGTTTAGGCCACTCGACACACAGGAACCGCATACCCGGCACCAACTAGCCCTCATATATGCAAACTATATGCACAACGTCAACTCAAGATATGCTCGGGCAGCAAAGGAAAACGCATACTTCGTGACAGGCGTAGCTATCAACATACGCACAGTCACATGTTCTGTATATTTGACACACAAAGACAAGCCAAACATGGGTATCCTCTCCCGAAGTCAGCTTACTCTCGTATACCGTGCATTTTCAGACGGACAGTCAGATCGCACAGTCTAGGGGATCAAACACCATATACATGTGCGTGTATATTCAATAGATACTGGGAAGTGGTCACAACAGAGTGAGTTGGCATACTTAGAGTAGTCAGGCGACCCCTTATTCGCATTCACACCCTCGCCCTGCGCGTCCAGTTGTACGACTGATCTAAAGGAGCGTGCTTGGAGTTGCTGTAGCTCTAGCCTTGGAAGCTTGCCTGGGCGAAACCAACATCAAATAGTGCTGCTAAGTTCACAATGGTATTCAGCATACAGCAATAAGTAAACCCGTAGTAGGGTCTAATAGCAGTGAAGGCAAATAGAACAATATACAGAACACAGATAATATCGGCAGCCATGTTGCCGAGAGTGTGTGCAAAGTTGTGCTTGAACGTGTATAAATCAAATAATGGTAAAGATTGTCAACAATGTCAGTATATATATATATATATATATATANATATATATACTATACTATACATACAAACTATATATATATATATATATTATATATATATATATATATATAGACACATACATAAATACATCATACATACATACATACATACGTACACACATATATATATTAAAATACACACACATACACACACACACACATATATATATAAATACATATATAAATATATGTATATATATACATATATATTTATACATACATACATATATATATATATATACATATAAATAATATATATAAATATATATACATATAAATAATATATATAAATATATATATATATATATAAATATACAGACATACAGACACAGACACAGACACAGACACAAACATATACATATATATATACTGAGATTTCCTTATATAAGCCACAGGCACACACAAACACAGGCACACAGACATACAGACACGCACATACACATATATCTAGATATATAAATATATCATATGTTAAGTTGGAATTGTACAGCATCCAGAAGCAGGATGTCAATGTGATAGCTGCACAAAAGTAGTTCTCTTATAAACGCAATTACGACTACCACACGGAAACTCCCAGCAGTATATAGCTGGACTAATTATAAACTCAAGAAAAGTAGGAAATGAAGACAGGACCATCCTATAAACAGGTGTCTCTGCAACGACATTACTTTTCAGGCCGAAACATGTCGATGACCACTACTTATCTACTCACATCCACCGCTATACGTCAGTGCCACTACTCAAACCAGCCTCTATACGCCAGTGTGTTCCGGGAATAGGGGCCGATAATCAATACACTTTATATTCATAGCCTTGTGTCACCCATATCATACCTTTGACAGGGCGGGGCATGTCGGCTTCTGTGAAACCCGGGTTGACGAATGGGTCCACTTGGGCACACAGAAAGTACAGCTCAGAGTTTGGTAGATCGGTCTTGATCAAGGTTCTAAACCTAAGCCATATGTATTCGCCAATTGGGCAGTTAGTAAAAGCTACTGGCTACACTACTGTGAGCCAGAAGACAGGGATGCGAGCCTGTGACTGAGCATGTACTATAAACAGGTAGCTAAGGGTGCGCGAAATGCCTGCGCTAACATTAGATGCCTACCGAATGAGGATATATGTCATAACCCGTTTAGTTGTCACTACTATGCAGCATCAGCAGCCTCTCGACGATATCAGCAACACGAAATTGCCAATTTTAACTAGACTATTAGTATATCTAGAGTTCGATCGGACACCAACCAGAGGCAAGGTTGATTATTAAACTCTTTCACACAGTATAAGGAATGGATAGAGGGTATCCCCAGAGCTGGCACTGTACTTTAGCATGTAACCAGGAAACACCCCACACACTGAACCCACTCACCTAGCCTGTACCAGCAAGAATGAGTGTGATAACATGTCAATAACTCGTGGGTAATGCACATAACAATACCACAAATATAGACTATCCACACAGCTGCTCAGGAAATTCGGCATGCAACAGCAAAGTGACAAACATCGCACACTGACACTCAGTCATAACTACACGAGTGAGTGTGAGTGTACTAATATGGCTCATTCTCAAGGTATAAATACAATACAACGACACGAAAGTGAACTACACACACAGCTGTCTTTGTAATGTACTAAGTAGCAACTAAGACACACCCCTCAGAATGACCCCAATTGCCAGTGCATACATCAGTGAATACTAGCTTGATTATACGACTCTTTCTCATGGTATACGTGTACACAATGGTTATCCACGCAACTGCCACTACAACAAACACATGTAACGGTCAAACCACATCTCTCATTCCGATCCAACTCACCAGTGCTTGGAATACGTATTGAAGTGAGTAGTTGAAGGTTCCTTGCTCGCATAGTCGCACAGATCAGGTACAGCCTCAAAAGGCAGGCGGCGTAGTGAGTATTTGCTGCCATCGACATCCTCCACCTCATGATCGAAGTACTCCAGTCTGACCTTTCCGGTGAATTGATCATACGGATATATGAACCTGCTTGACTTGTTTCCCATCGTGTCTCTTGTATGTACTTAACGTTGATGTGTTTATTTGCTGGCTACGATTGTAGCGTTTCTTAATTACGGTCGCAACACAAGAGTTGTGCCAACGGTGAATGGCTTGAATTGAACGCGTTTCAAGGGACTATACAGTGTAAAAAACCACACCATAGCGATTAGCCTACTTCCAGGTGTCTGCAGTGATGAGATACAATGCACCGGCAGAGGTTACCAGGTCTGTAACACACTATGTTCAAAGCAAAACACACTAGGTAGTATGTACAAACTATGACCTACACGACAGTATGAAAGTAGTATGCTATAAATAATAAAAATGTTTGCGATGTACCAGTATCCAGCAGACAGCAGTATTTACATAGGCAGTGCATAGGCCTCATTATTTACAAAAAAAAGTAGGGAAGGAGGTGTCCGTCCTTTTTGGGTATATTCGTCCTAACCAAAAGAAAGTCAGCTGACCTCAGTCATCTGACATCTCGACCTCCGAGTCAGCTGTGCAAATATTGATAGACTATGCGACAGTATTTATCAGAGACTGTCAGAGATATTAATATTTAGTGAGAGTGTGAGGCGCATGAGACTACTATGGAGAGTCGCTTAAGCCTTAAGGTCCGAAACTCTTCATTCTGATACCAATTGGAGCATAAATAGCAAAAGTCGTGGCGATAAAACACATCGGCGACGTATTTTAAGATCAATATCTGTCTAGATTACCCCCAGAAATTGACACCGGGAAAATTTATCGGCTGACCAAGGAAACATACTACACAGCGTACCCAGATCAAAGATGTATACACAGCATGCACCTATACGACAGGTTCGAATGGATACAACTCCAGTGACGATACTGATGCGTCGGTTGTGGCGCATCGCTACCGATAAGCCTCTAAGGCGAATCGATCTCCCAGAGCGGGCCCGATTGAAAACATGTTCAAGTACGAGTCCCGATAACGAATGAGATCAAGAACAATTACTCAATAAGCAGCCAGTCCTTTTGGAACGGCGTATGTATTTACAGCGGAATTCCGATTTAGTGTTGGGACGCAGACAACGCTGGTGTATGAGGCTGTATCATTCCGAGTATTAAGTAGTTTTCTGTGTGTGAATGAGATAAGTGTAAGCTCCATGCGGAACCAATTGTATCTGTCGCTCTCATCGAGACAGTTTCCCCCTGAGTACATTCTCGAGGCAGAAGTCAATATCATTCTGCGAATGTTCTCCCGGTTATATCTTAGTCGATTGGTCAATAGCCTACGCAGGCAAAAGGTCAGGAGCCCTGGTGAATTCCACAGCAGAATCGTGACATCATAAAGTCAAAATAAGAGGCTGCCAACGGTGATCAACACTGCCTAATACACAAGTCGAAAGTGGTCTCACAACGACATACTTGCTAGTCTTGTATGCGAATTGCAGCAGACGCTAGTCTGCGTGTCGAGACTCTACACGCGCTTCAGTAGACTGCAGATGCCACTAAAAGAAGTTTAAACAAGACAAACAGTACTGTGTGTGACAATTGTCTGTGACCTACATCACCTGCTGAATCACCATTCAATAACATACAATCGCCTGCTTCATATTTTTAACACAACAGATGATATTTTGCGTCATCTATCTTTTTTGAAACAAGACTTCATATCAGCACTCCACACCGCCTTCCCATCTGAATTCCGGGCCGTTGAAATAGCGTTCAGATGTGAGATGTCTCGCGTTATTTATAAGTATGTGCGGAATGGTGGGATTTTTGTAAAAAAAACAAAAAAACAAACAAAATGTATCGTATTTAGGATTGTTTTGAAATAATATTTGACAGCTTAGCATTTTCACGTGGCACAGGTAGTCCCTATGATTTATTACATATTTACATTCTTTTGTATATTCTGCACGTGCGGGGCGTCAGCAATTTTTCGATTGCGCGGAATGTCAATTCCCTCCTGACTTCAGTGAGTCGTACCATTTGCTTTGTGAACAGGAATCCTTGTGACAATCTTTGCGTACGAGCTGTGATATTTATTTAAAGTGGCATGCTGCCTCATCTCTTCACAGTCACGTTATTAAGTATTCAGCTGACTCAAATAGTTAAAAACATAATTTGCCAATAAACGAGCCATAAAGCACGATGGTGAAGCAAGCATCTCTGGGTCGAATTATTCAGGATGATGAGGATGATAACAAAGTATTCTCCACATTCCGGCGGCAAGAAGGCTTGAACTTCATAGTGTGTCCACTGACCAACGAGAAGTGGCGTAAGGATGTCACCACGTGCATTGGAGAAAAACGCGAACCCCCTGTACTCGATAGAGACCACGTGCGTGTCATAGATGTGCAGAATAACCATCACACTGTTGGCATGGTATCGCCTTTCTTGGCCCTGCACTCCAAGTCTCAGTTTGTACGGGAGAGCTTCCAGCATGTATTCAAGTATGTATAGTGAGATGTATAGATTGCAGTACTGGCTTGGACCGTGTGAGACATACAACCCAATACGACGCTCCTTTACTGTAACTTTAGACACTGACGTGTACGTGCGATATGCTGCTTCAGATTTGGAAATATGCACTTTTACGCATTGAATACATACATGTACACATTTAAAGTAAAAACACACGTACAAACATTTCTAGTTATAGACTGGTATATATATATATATATATAATATATTACATATATATATATATGTATATATATATATATATACATATATTAATATATATATATATATATATATATATATATATATATACACACACACACACACACACACACACACACACACACACACACACACACACACACACACACA